CGAATTTGGGATGAAAAGAAAACTGAAGAGATTAAAGACTTATTATTTCAGAAAAAAACAAAAGTTTAATGCTTGTGGGCCCGTGGTATCACCTTCCCATGTTTCTTCAAAAATAATGTCGGTGAGAATCTAACCATCAAAAACGACCGTTAGCGCAGCATGATAACCAATTAGTTGCTACCTGAATTTGAACGTTTTGGTGTGGTCGATTGGCTACCAAGATGGTTAGTGACTTTTTCCTGTGGGAATATCTTAAATCTGAAGTTTATGCGGGCAATTCCGTTTCGATTCAGGCCTTGGAGCAAAACATCACGCGTGTCATACGCCAGTTACCAGTCGAAATGCTCAAAACAAGTTATAGAAAATTTGACTCAACGGATGGACAATTTTAGATGTAGACGCAGCCAACAATTGAAAGAGATAATCTTCAAAAAATAAATGCCCAAGAATGTTCTTTCGAATGGTAATCAACATTCCCCATTGAAATTCGTTCGAATACCCCATGGTATTTCCAGAAGTTTATCAGACAGATTTTTGTATAGTCCAGTGTAGTAGTATAAGTAGTAGTTTAATCTAGCTGCTCTACTGAGATGATTTGTGCCTCAGAAATTTACCTAATTATACATTCATACTTAATTTCAAAGTTTTCCATCGACCATATCGGCCTGAAACTTAAATCTACAATCATTTCTCTTAATTGCTCAGTTTGCCAACAAAGATTTTGATATGGTGAACTTACTTTTGAACTACTTCAAAGGAATWCTGAAAATAACTTTCTAGCCACCAAAAGTGGTTATTGGATGTAGCTTCTTCCATTTCATAAGACTTTGATGCTTTATTTTTGGTACCAAATATTATTGTTAAAATGTCCGATACTTTTGTTATATTGTTGTCAAATATCTCCCTTCCRCCTTTTTGTTTTATGAAATTCGCGGCCACGTATAAAGCGTTACAGAGCTCGTATCTGGAAATACTTTACATTTTTATAAAGGTCTTGATATAACTTACAGAACGACGCTATGATTAGTTTGGATATTGCGTCCAACAGTTATAGACCTGTAAATTCGCGCTATTTTAAAGTTTTCCTTCATTAAAGGTAAATCCGCTAGAGAATCTTTTCATAAAATTAATGGTGTTTTGTGGGCGGGTACTCTATCACTTCGAACTGCGGAGGGATGGTGAAAACGACACCATGGATAAGCCAGCCGACAGAAGGCCCTTGACGACGAATACCAATGATCAAATCATGGAAAACATCGGGTTTGACCGTCATTTGGCAACTTGTGACATTGCCCAGAAGATTGGAGTTAGTCACCAAAACATWTTMAACCATCAGCAGAAGGCTGGATACACAAAAAGGCTTGATGTTTGGGTGCCGCATGAAACCTTCTGGACCGAWTCAACGCCTGCGATATGCTGCTGAAACGGAACGAACTCGACCCATTTTTGAAGCGTATGGTGACTGGCGATGATAAATGGATCACAYACGACAATATCAAGCGAAAACGGTCACGGTCGGAGGCGTTCTACGACCTACTGCGAACAACTAGAGGGCTTGAAGTAGGTGATCGACCGGAAGCGTCCAGAATTGTCCAACAGGAAGGGAGTAGTGTTCCACCAGGATAATGCTAGACAACACACTTCGTTGATGACTCGTCAGAAGACGGGAGGTTCTATCGCATTCACCATAAAGCCCGGATATCGCTCCAAGTGACAGGTGTTCCTGTCCATGACGAACGCCCTAGCTGGTGTAAATTTGAACTCAAAAGTGGCTGCCTCAGTTCTTCGCAAATAAGGAGGGGAGCTTCTACGAGGGGAGTATTCTGAAGTTGCCGTMTAGATGGATACAGATTAACGAACGAAACGGCGCATATTTGAACTAAATTACTGTAACAATTTTTATAAATCATTGAATAAAGAGCAAAAAGRCGGAAGGGAGATATATATATACATATATTATATTGTCGGGTTCCGCGGCGGAGCAAAGGGCCACACTGAGATCTTTTTTGGTTTTGATCTTAAGGTAGTGTCTTGATTTAGTTCCAACTTTTTCAGACCCTTAATTTTTCGATGTCCAAATTCCTTTTCCCGGTTAGAACGTCGTTCTTGGTCGTTAGTATGCTTTGTGGATACTGTTCCATGTGATTGCGCCTGGATCTCATCTGAATACATGTCCAAACCAGTTTCATTTTTCGTTTAAAAATGTTGGCTTAATTCAGTATTTGGTTTGTGCGTGATCAAAAATCCGTGTTAAAGACAGTAATGGATCAAAAAATTTGACAAATATTGTGAGGGCATCGCTTTGTTAAAATGTTTAGCTTTTCAACGTCAGAGATTTCAAGTTTCGTGGACTAAACTTTGGAATTGCATATTTTTATTTCCGTACACAATGTAATGATCGAAGAGTTTCAGACCGCTTTGAGAGTACCGAAAGTTTGGTAGGCCTTTATTATTCGGTTTCTGATGTCTCTTTTGATCATCCATATGCAGATATAATATTGTCAAAGAGAGAAAATAATTTCATAATCTCGAATTCGACACTATCGACCGAGGAATTTTCAGCATTGGTGGTGTGTATAGGTAATTCTTTACTTTTGGTGATATAAATTTTRAGACTTTCGCTGTAGTTTCTTTTTTGTAAGATTTCCGAATAGTTGTCTGACTTTTCTGAAAGAGCTACAAGGACGTATTTAACATAATTTGCAAGAATTTCTAAGCATCTAAACCTATTAAATAGCCCTCGTACTTATATGGACATAAAGTCATACACCGTTACAAAGCTAGAAAAAATCAACACATTACTCACGAATACAYTCATTCATACGCATTATATAYATATGTATGTATTTATAACGACACTTCATCAGCTAAGGGTTTCATTTCGATTGCTCATAAGCCACAAGCATAACACATCAAGTGTTGGTAGGCATTAACAACAACAACCGCAGCGGCAACAACAACAAAAGCAAATAGGTGGTGAAAAGTCATTTAAAAATAGACGCATTGTCGCGCACTTTTGCGACCGTGCGACGTGTTTAACCCAGTGCGCCAACGTCGTCATTGTTGCTCAACTGCGATGCCGCGACGAATGTACTATATGTATGTATGTATGTATGTGTTTGTGSTATTCCCAAACTAATAATTATGTAAATTCCCAGTATTGAGTGTAGCGTAAAGGCAAAGGTTCCCCACTTGACGAACACTTTTTCACATTTATTGTTTTTGTAATTTCWTGCGACGCTTAAATAATATTTAGCACACTTACGTTGTTGCTTTCACTACTATGCTGTTGTTGTTGCAGTTTTTTATTGTTGTTAACTCATTGTTTTTTCGATTTTCTGCGCTTGCAGAGTCCAAGTACTCGAGTGGTTTCAACAGTTGTACGTCCAAACGGAATCGTTCAGATCGGACGAGGAGTCACAACGTGTCCGTGAGGCGGGCAATAATTGCTATCGCAAGGAACATCATCCACTCAAGGCATGCGATCTATATACTGAGGCTATATTTTTAGCGCCCGTCGAAGAGGATGCAGACAATACGACAGCGGCAATGGCGCATGCGAATCGTTCGACTGTGTTGCATGATTACGGCATGTATGAGGTATGTATAGTATGAACACTTTTACACACATATGTATGTATGTATGCACTATGTTTGTACTACAATTTGTATTGTTTACAAGTAAGTATATGCAATTTAAATCAATGTTGGCAAATATTATAGTACACGAGTGTGTATGAGTTGTTGTAAATATAAAATATGCATTTTAGGTAAACACAGAAGGTCATCCATTACACATGAATACCTAGTAAGTCCAAAATGAGAATGTGCATATCGTTCGAAAAAAAAACAGAAAATAAAATCCCAAAATATTTCGGGATCCCGAAATTCAAAGAACCCGTTGTCATAAGATTATTTAAAATTCAATTTTGAAACCGAAGTGAAAACAAATACTAAACAAAATCTCGAAATATTTCGGGATCCCGAAGTGCGATTTCAGGATTCTAAATAAAAAAAAAACAGTAAATGAAATCCCGAAATATTTCGGTAGTAGCCGATTTTAAGAGTTTATATAAAATTCAATAAAGGAAACCGAAGTAAAATGAATACCAAATCCCGAATTATTTCGGGATCCCTAAATTCACAGAAGCCGTCATTTAAAATTCAATTTTGAAATCGAAGTAAAAAGAAATACTTAACTGAATCTCGAATTATTTCGGGATCCCGAAATGCGATTTTTGTGGTTTTTTGCAAGTCAATAAGGAACTCCAAAATTTTTATTTTTGTTATTGTTAATTAAATCTGGATATATTTTTTTATTCCGAGGTTCAAGSAAAATCGAATTCTAAGGAWTCTTTACAATTCAAAGCAGATTTCGAGGGAATATATGAACAATACGAATAATTAGTATTACGAATAACCTTAAATAAAAAATAAATAATGAACTTAAGATCTAGATCTAATAAAAAATATTCCGATTTCTAAAAAATASTTAAAACTCAATAATGGATCATTATCATCAACATTTTGGTATCCCGAGGTCCTAAGAATTCAAATAAAGTAGTAAATTAAATCCCGAAGTATTTCGAGATATAGAAATTGAATAATTCCAATTTCTTTCTCAATAATTCTAAATTTCTAGTCCCAAAGACTCCAATTTGTGGAAATTCTTCAAAAATAAATATACTATATGTGACCTGGTCTACGAAAAGGGGGCTATTGTGCGAAAAAAAAATTTTTTTAAAATTAATGTTAAGAATCTCATCTTCCATCCAAATCAACTAAAAATTTAAAATTGATTTTTTGGATTTTTTGACACCTAAGCCCCCTTTCCGTAGACTAGGTCACATATATAGTAAGTTCGATAAACGCATTGGCGATTTTATGTCAAACCAATGAGATTTAAAATTTAMAAATTACAAGGCATACAAGGATTCTCTTAAGTTTTCTGGATCCAGATGTTAGTTTTTTATTGCGTGAATTCTCGCGAGAGTAAATTATAGTCTTCTCTAATTTCTCCTCAACTAACGAGCTCATCAAATGTAATAAATTTGATAAATAGTTCGATAAAAATCATTTACGCTTTGCATTTTTCTTCACACACAATTTCGCGCATTACTATTGTAGGCGGTTAGGGTGGCGCGTTGGCCTTGAGCGCACGCCTAACTACAAAACATTGAAAAACTGCCACACCACGCCAGCAACGCGCCCAACTAACTCCGCCATTAAGCACACTTTCCAAGAGCGCTTCGTGCACCGCAGCGCTTTCGTGACTYTGATGTGTTTATCGCGCATTCTCATCTTTCGTTTTGGTTACTTTGCACAAATTCATGCTTTATTTTTCATTGGAAATTAATTAATTTCTCGACAACACAGGAGTCACACGCAAGCGCGCTCTTGCCGCAATGTAATTGCGCTTTTCAAGCCATTTATTTAATTTGAATTTAAAAACACATGAAAAAAAGAAACATATGAGACACCCTGTTTTTATATGCGCTACGCTTAACTGTCTTTGCAGGAAGCCTACGACGATTGCCTGTGCGCGCTGGAGCTCGGCTATCCGGAAGAGTATAACGCGTTGATCAAACTACGCCAAGCCGCTTGTGCCTTAAAGTTGCGTAACTTTGCGCTCTGYGAACTGCATGTGCACGAGCTGCTGCACATGGATCTCTCCGAGGCGTTTGAGGCACGTACACACGAACTTTGGCACGAATGCGAGGTGCTGAAATCGGAAAARGTCGATATGGGCGTGCAAACGGACGACGATCATTATGTGGCAGCGGCCGCCAYGGCGCCACAACACATACYACACGGGAGCAACAGCAATCGGCTGAAGGTGTACGAAGTGTAAGTGTCTGTTACTTATGTGTCTACAAATTTTAAAATAATATTACACTTCTTGTCTCAATAACCGCGTCTGTACAGCGCCTGGTCGGACACGTCGAATGCGATTACAACGACACGACGCGCCTACTTGCGCGCCACCACAGACATTGTGCGCCACATGCCGATCTTCAGCGAGGAGGCMGCCATCTTTGTGTCCAGCGGTCARGCGCGCATCTGCGACAATTGCGCCATCACACAGTTCATACCATTTCCATGCGACTACTGTTCGAATCGCACATCCGTTTACTGCTCGCGTAAATGTCGCGCTCAACACTCATCCATACACGTGCTCGAATGCTTCGCCCACCAGATTGAGCTGTTCGAAGAATTCGGCGATGCGTTCGCCAAACCGCGCCTACTGCAGCTCGCCTTTCGCATGCTCATCACCGGCTTGCCGCAGGTGATGCCGCATTGTCGCAAACGACCGACGGTAAACAARATGTGGAACGCCTTCAATGGCATACTCACCGAACGCACGGACATACCATATTCGGCGCTGTTGCGCCTCGAAGCGCACCTCGATAAAATCGAYGCCGAGACAACCGTTTCACTCGCCATTGCCGCACACATACTAGCCATCTATTTGGCTGAGTGCACGGACTTTTTYGAGCACCTCGATCTCATGATGCCCGCCACAACGAAGCTGACGCGCAGCGAATGGATTCTGCTCTCGGCCGCGCTGCTGTTGCGTCACATCGGCCAGCTGAGACACAAACATCTCACGCACTGCCCGTCCTTTGTGTTGCCCGCAGATCCGCACATAATGTCGCCGCTGCACGAATTTAGYCTCTGGTCGGCGGTAAAACACATACGGCAGGGTCAATTGCATTTGTTGGCCGGCGATGTGGCGTGCGTCGCCTACGCCGTCTATCCGCAGACGTTGAGCTTGTGTCGGCAGTCGTGTGCCGGTCAAGTGTATCGTAAACATTCGGGGCGTCAGGTGACCGCTTATGCCACATGTGACATTCTATTGGGCGCTTGCATTGGCAATTGTTTCGTTTACGCTGGTGATTATCGACAATCGTTGTACGAGACACGGAGGCAGGACCTCAAGGTGCGCGGCATCGACTGCAAGTGCGACAAGTGCTTTCGTCCATATCCGGATGAGGATTTTGTAAGTGTGCAACTTAAACGTTGTTGTTTGTACAACATTATGACACTCGCTCGAGACAACAACAACAAATGCACATAATTCAGATATCAACTTACACATGTGAACACGCACACAAAAACACACATAAGCCACATTGTAGTGCCACTGTATTATACTAATTTTTATTGTTGTTGTTGTTGTTGTTGTTATTCTTAAATGTTTACGTTCTTCAGCCAAAGTAGTGGCACAAGTGTGCATAGCCGGTACATGCATACATACAAGCATGTATTTGTAAATATGTATGCGATGCGTTGTCGTTGTTGTTTTTTTTTTTTTTGTTTCTTTGTTTGTATGTGCGTATGCAATAGTAGCGATTATAGTTAATTCCACTTTCCACCATTGCCTCAATGTGGGTGTGTTTGCTCTTGATGTTTTTATTGAATTTTTTGTTCTTCGTATTTTCATTCGTTTTTTTTTTTTTGTGTGTTTAATACTCAGTGGCTCTGTGCATTTGTTTGCCTAGTCTACTTCACTATACTATATATGTATATATGTATGTGCGTGTATGTTTGCCTAGTTTCTTCCGTGTTTTTGGATTGTTCCCATACATCTATACATACTTATATATAGCCATACATATAGATATGTGTGCTGTTGTTCATAATGTTTATATAGTTTTAGGCGCTTAACGACATCCGTGCCCCTATTGTACATAACCCGCAGTTGTTTTTGTAAATTATACACTTTTTTCGCAGTTATTTGGACTGTTATAACGCGACTAATGGGATTCGAAATTGATATATAATACGGATATATATTTTTTTGAAAATTTTTGTATAACACATCTTCAGAACTTATGTTTATGAGAAACAAAACGAAAGAAAACGCAAAAGCCTTAACCTAACCAAAAATTAAAAGTAAAAGAAGTAAAAACCTTAACTTCGTCGGGACCGAACCTTTCGCAGATGCATTTCTTATAGCATAAAAGATTATAAAAAGATATTTGTCTGCATATTGACCGATCAGGTTATATGGGTTAACCGGGAGGTAATAGGACTGAGTTAATTTAAAGAAATTTATTTAGTAAAACTTTCAAAATAGGCTCCTTCTGCATCGACACAGCGCTGCCAGCGCGAGGCGTCACGGAGAGCATTCTCCGGAATAGCCCTGAAAGCCGAGATGCATGCTTTTTGGGTCCTCTTTAATCGACCTTTTCAGGCAAGTGAACAAATAAAAGTCTGGACGAACACATCTGAGCTGTAGGTCGACTGCGGAAGCATTGCGATTTCGATCTTAATTAGGATACTGTTCACAAGTAAGGCGGTGTGAGCCGGAGCATTGTCGTAGTGCAACTTCCAATCGGCTACGATGTCTTGTCGGACACTATTGATCTTTTATTTGAGTCTCATGAGGACTTCCGCATAAAACTTGGCGAGMAAATTCATGATGGACGATGCTTTTGATGTCCAAAAAGCATCGTTTTAACTTTGGATTTGCTCATTCTTGCGGTTTTCAACAGCGACCTCTTCCCAGYCCTCGAAAAGGCTTGGTGCCCCCGAAATACGCCACTTCTTGCTAAAGCAACATCTAGGTCGCAGACATACCGAGTTTCACACAGAATTTAATCGCATACCTCTGCTTTAACGAACGCTGCATTTTTCGGCACGCTTTTCTGACTCTCTAMGTACCCGGAGAAAACTGACCAGCCTTAACTAGGAACCCTCCAAAGTACAGTCGCGGCGGAATAAAATCAGTTCTATTTATTTCCGAACAAACCCTTTACATTCGTTTATATAAAATCAAAAAGATTCCAGGTTTCTGTTTTCGTCACTGATTAATCATACTACTTGGGTTAATAATCTATTCAAGTGTTAAAAACCTCATCTGATCATAAAGAACTAGTCCCATCTGAAATTTCAAAGTAATGTAAGTATGTTCTAATCTTGACATCAACGTAGAAAATTCAACTTTTATTTACCTGAATTGGATATTCCGAGGAAGCTATTTTAGCTTCCTATAGAGCATTTTTACATTAGCTAGTTATTATACGAAGTCAATGCTTTGGATCTTAAGGTGTTTCATTACTACACAATACTATCGGTGGCGATTCTAGTCTTGAGCTCAGTAATCGTGCGTTCAAGGTGAGTTAAAGAATGCCTAACCTCTTATGCGTTCTGATACTGGATAGCTGGACTTTACAGGAGCTTTGCCGCCACTGGGCTACCATCGATTCTTGTGCTGTAGCAAAGTTCTTTTAGACTAAGCTGGATCGCAGGAGATCTAGTGAGCACTTTTTTGCCCGCTTTTTCTGGTTGCGGAATCTTACCGGATACCATCTCAACACTTCCTTCTTGGTTGTCAGCCGGCAAGGCTCAAACACCTCAGATTTTTATTAGCCTGAAGGCGCTTTGGGGACATTTACAGTATTGGACAAAACTAAAGCACCCCCATTCTTTGTTAAAAAAGTCATCACTGCGCTACTGTAAAAGTACGGCTGACCATAAACTGTTACATAAATTTTTAGGAAATTTGTTAAGCGGTGGATGACGGTTAGAGTTAAACAATCAAAAATGGCGAGAAAGACTTACTCATCCGACTTTAATAATAAGTGATTGGAAAACGGTTTATCTCGACATAAAAGAAGTGAAAATTTTTCGATTAATAAAGAAGTGGCAGTGTACTTACGCAACACAGCGAAGGAAGACAGCGGGCAATTACAAGAACAGATGATTCCCTGATCAAAAAGGCCAACCAAATTGATCCTACAGCCTCTTCCACTCAGATGAAGAAACAGTTATATTTACCAGTTAGTGAACGAACAATAAGAAGACGAGCTGTTGAGGCTGGATTGTTCTGTGGTCGTCTAGAAAGTCTTTTATTTCAGCAAAAAATAGAAAGCACAGACTTGAATTTTCGATAACTCATCTCGATTGGAGCATTCAGAAATGGAATACAGTTCTATTCTCAGACGAAGGCAGAGACTGAACACCAAGTATTGTGTTTGGACCATTTAATATGGCGGTGGTAATGTTATAGTCTAGGGCTTTTCTTATTTATTTACGTTCTTTTTAAAGGGGCGTGACAGTAGAGGGACTTCACAGACAAAACTAAACTAGCAACAATGGTTCACTTTTCGAAGGGAGAACAGCATATAAATTTTAAMCATGTTTTAAATGCTGTATTATGGCAAACTTTTCGCTCAAATCGTATTACAGAATAAGGACAAGTAGATTGTCCTAGGTTGGATAACAATCTGTGTCTATGTTGGCTACGTGCGCGGAGGCCAGCTTTGAATGTACCAGTCTTTTTACATAAAATTGACAATATAATGATCTCGAATAGAATTCAGGTTCAGAAATGGGAATTTAAAAGCTGTTGACCTCCCAAACATACCATAGACGATATAAACAAACGARCAGGCGCAACCCCATAGACTTTGTAAGTTAAGGCTACAGGTTCTGTGACCTTGCAAGATAATTTTTTTAATTTACTGAAACTATTTGCCGGTTTATCAACGCTGTTCCACCAAATGGTCAAGTGGTCAAGTTGTTTTTCAAGTCAAAGTTAGTTTTAAGGCCTTGAAGGAAATGATATTTGCGGATGATGTTTACGGAAAGTAACAGTGAAAATGCTGGAATTTTAAAATTTCATTGAGTTTTTATGTGCCAAAGTCTAACGTTTGCATGACACATATCATCCACTTTTTAAACACACATTTTCTTTTTTTGCAATATTCAGTATTTTTTCTTCAATTTCTGTGTCATGTGTCTGTGTCACATTTCTGACATTCTCTGGCGTTTCAATTACGAATTGACTGTCMCGGTCACTTGTCTGTCATTGTCACTCACCTGTCTGTTACACGAAATCATAACACATTTTTTTTGGACAAAAGGAAATGTCACTTACATTTAAAATTTTTCCAACTGGGAAACATTTTTTTTTTCCAAAAATTTTTTCTACATGAAAAAAGTTTTTTTAAATTTTTTCAAAAATTTTTTCTACATGAAAAAAGTTTTTGCTAAATTTTTTCAAGAAATTTTTTTTTTAACTCAAAACATTCGTTCTTTGCTTTAACACACGTTGCTTCGCTTGCCACACTGACTWGCTTGTCTTTTGCACTGCATACTTCAAAGTCAAAATTTCAATTAAAAAACAACAACAACACTTGCACCAAAATATTTTCGCCTCTTCCTTTCTTCACACACTCAACACACATACAAACATACGTACGCCCACAAGTATTCCTATAACTGTATAAGCAATGTTATGAAATTTTGAAAGATAGAAAAAAAAAACAACAACAAAACATTTTACAGCATAAATTTCATCGCTATCGCTGTGATAATCCGAAATGCATGCAAATATTCACACCAAACGCCAGCGATTTGAAATACACGCGCAACTTACGCTGGTGGCGCAGTCCATATTACACACACCCGAACAACGAGGGCGCCGATCTGTTGGTGTGCAGCGCCTGCGACGAAACGCAAAAGCTGGAATGGTTTTGGACCTTCAATACGGCACTGAGCGACTGCGATTCGGTTGAGATGCGCTGTAAGTTGTACGCGGCCRTTGAGCGAGCCGACACGCAACTCGTTGAAATGAACGAGTGCAAAGTCGCTTTGGCGCGCCAACTAGTCGAGCAGTGCTTGTTGATGCATCGAGGTACGTTGTACATATACATCAGTTAACAGTAAATACTAGCAATAATCATATCGTTATTATATAACACACAGACACACACACACACACACGTACAGAGCATTAATATAACAAATTAACATTATCATTAAATAAAAATGTTCACTACTAGTAAATATGTATCAACTTCATACATATATACCATACATATAAACAAATTCGCACATACATATGTACACACAAACATTCGTAGGAATATTATCTTTAAGTACTGTAATCATTGTAGCAATCAATTTAGTAGGTCTAAAAGCTAGTCAAATGTCTTGAATTAGTTTGTAGGAAGTGGTTTTATGCATTGCGTAATTAGTTTATATACATATAACATATGTAAATACATGTATGTTGAGTAAATAGAATAGTATGTAGTATTTTCGAGGGCGAAAATTCTTCAAAAAAAGTTTAAAAAAAGTAAAAGAAAAGCAAAACTTTGGCGAAGATTTGCACAAAATGTTGAAACGCTAGACTTATAAAAMAAAACTTTTGGATTTTTTGTGTAAATTTTTTGTTTTGTATTATTTATTTTATTTTTTGGATAAAAAATAGTTTATAAAACTGTGCAATAAAGT